ACAGAAATCTAAATAATAATAGATTTCTGTGGTCACTATAAAACGTTCGTTACTGTGGTTTTCGAGAGGTCACGCTTACCCGAATTCTCTCCACGAGAAATCGCCGATATGCATTACTATTACGGGTTGTGTCGCGGAGTTGCATGTGGTGCACGCATTGCGTACATGGCTGCATTTCCAAATCGTTCTAAGCCATCCAACCGGTACTTTCAAGAAGTACATAGAAGTTTTTCGAATATCGGTCTTGGATTAACTCGAGATCCTCGCGTGCAACCCGAATAACTTGTGTTGAACGTCTTTACTGATCCAACCACCAGCATTAGACGCCTTGCTGCTCGTTTTATTATGTTATAAATACAAGGGTCCTTAATAAGCAATAGAAAAGCTAAAAAAGCGATAATAATTATTACGATTTTTTCAACTTTTTTGTCAATGAATAATGGTCTAGCTTCACCCATTTTCGTTTGTGCACTTTATTCAGGGGCACAACAAAACCATTATGTTCTTCTACCGCAAGAAATAAAAACTAAAAATATCGTGTACACAGTACTTTAAAATACTACGTTATATAAATACCTGCATAATATTACATATCTGCATTTTATCTTTAAAAGATCCCAGTAGACTCGACGTTTATTTAATATTCCTATTCCCGTGAGGTCTTTTACTAAATCTTACTGATCATAGCGTGATGTACCTAAAAGAACATTGATTTATATAACCTAGATCAGTAATAACCGCGCCAAAGCGTTGCCACTGCACATATGGCCACAGCCATATGCCTAGCTAACGTGAGTTCATTGTTCAATGTGACACCGACAGAGTTGAGCCGCGACAAAAATGGGTAAATGTGTAGTGAAAGAATGCTATTCAAGGTCACAAAAACGTAATAAATCAAGCGGCATCACTTACAACACATAATTTTTAGTTCCTGTTGTCATATAAACGTAAAAAACCTCAAATAATTAAATAAAATTATCGAATATTGCCATTTAGGTTCAATGTTGCCACTTTTCCGAATTTGTGATTATCCTACATTAATGGGAGACTATATAATTAATGAAGTAAGTTAATTTGTTACCTCTGATTTTAAATATTTTGGAAATTATAATAAAAACTACGTTTTAACTTTCATACAAAATAATTATTCTTATTTTAGTTTATTCATGAATTATCTATTAAATATATTTTATTACCTATTTTATATTAATAATTTTATATTATTTATAATTTCATATAAATTTTATATTAATTATATTTTATTAGATACCTATTTAATATTGTTTGATTTATTAGAACCATAAAAATACGTTTTATTTCATCATTATGTTTACTTATATCATCATCTGATAAGCTTTGTATCCCTTTTTTTTCTAAGGGGACGTAATAAAGATTTTAAAATAAAATATACTTTTTTTAATATAAAAACAATTAACTGCAGGTTAAAAAAAAACTCATTTTTATTGCGTATTTTAGGTAAAATTTCATATAGCAAGCAACACCAACTCGCCATTGCATGTTTGTGTGTCTATCTTTATCTAATCTTACGACGACGATATTGTTTTCGCAACTTGTGTAAGTGAGATAGATATATATTTACTTAAAATTGTTATTAGTTTCAAAGCTACGTCGTCGCGTTTGGATAGTGGTTACACTTTTTTCGACGCCCGGTAATGTGGTTTGCTCCTCTAGTGTTGTATAACTCAATGTAAAAGAACCTATATTATACTCTTAACGTAGATAATAAAAAATAAATCAAAATCAATCTTCAAATTAATCTATAAATTATCCATCATAGACATACAAACAATGTTTCTCCTGGTTTCGTCCACGTAACTTTAAATTAGCACTGTAAGTACCAAATTAGGCCAGGCCCGGGTTCTGCTTCACAGTCAACTATAGATTACTACGAGACGAACAGATTTAAGTTCTGCAATAACGCTGTTATAAAAATACTTAAAAATTTAAAATCAAACGCTCTAGGTGTGGATGGTATCTCATTGGAAATGCTGTCGAGTCTCCCGTATTCCATAGATGCTATCACAAAGATTATAAACATCTCTCTCATAACTAAAAGGTTTCTCACTCTACGGCAAATGGCGTTAGTAAGACCAATTCCTAAAAAAGTGAATATTACGGAACATTAAAGATTTGCGGCCAATAAGCATACTGCCGTGTATGTCTAAAATTCTAGAAAAATTTGTCTGTGATCAACTAACGCATTACTTAAACTTGAACAACATTCTACCAAACGTTCAATCCGGTTTTAAGAAATACAAGCCTTAGCCGATGTTGTTGATAATATTTAAAATGCGCAAGATTCTGGTAAGGCTACTATTTTAGTACTTTTGGACTATTTCCGCGCATTTGACACTATAAATAAAATAGACGTCTACTACTGGCAAAATTTAAGTATTATGGGTTTAGTTCCGATACAGTCGACTGGTTTGCAAGTTACTTTAGTGATCGCAGACAGATTGTCCGTGCGTTCCGAATGCTCTCTTGTTACGAGAGGGGTACCGCAAGGCTCAATACTGGGTCCTTTGATTTTTGCCTTGTATAATGCAGCTATATTACAAAAAGCATAACAAACTGCAAGTACCATATATATGCTGACGATATACAGCTATACATTTACATCAAACCCAGTGAAAGTACTGATGCAATACAAAATTTGAATGACGATTGAAATCGCATAGCAGACTGGTCTAAAGCAAATACCTTAGTTTTAAATCCTAATAAATCAATATACATGCTACTCGGTATTGAAGCACAAATCAAAGTTTTAGCTGCCCATCCAATACTAAAAATAAAAAATGTAAATGTTGAGCGTGTTAACGAGGCGAGAAACTTAGGAATAGTAATGGATGAGAAGCTAAGGTTTGCAGTAATACAGCTAAATAATACAGCTAAGAACTGCTTTTACCGGTTAAAAGTTCTGTACCAAATCAGAAATGTTGTATGCACTGAGGTGCGTAAGAAATTATATTAATCGTTAGTTCTATGTAAATTTAACTACGCTGACGCGGTATTAGGGCCTAGACTTCTCGTGGGGTCAAGGAAACTAATCCAGCGTGTTCAAAATGCCTGTGCCTGCTTCTGTTATAAAATTACTCCACGTGCCCATGTAATTAACAACGCAAGAATGCTTAAAATGGATTACCGTTGGCAACTACATTTCGCCACTTTATTGTTTGGCACTATTAAAACGAGGGCACCCTCCTATCTTCACAATAAGTTAATGCTACGATTTCGACAAGAGTTTCGGCGTACAAGTTGCTCATACCTATACATCATTCTGCCGTATTCCGAGGGAGCTTCAGATATGCCACAACTAAGTGCTGGAATAACCTTCCACCGCCTCTTCGAAACCTACAATCAGTGTACAGTTTTCGTATAAAATACAAAGCTATGCTATTAAACGAACAGCTACGATTGTAGATTATTATCAATATAAAATTTAATGTTTTTATGCTATAATTATGTTCCAGTGTGTATAATTTTAATTTTCTTTTCTTTCTTTCATACGTCACAGGTGTGCAATCTAATTACACTACTCTATGGTGTATAGCCCCCAGGTTCTGTGATAAAACATGCTAAATGTATGCGGCAGCATGTTATGTTGAGCATATCTCTCGGGTTGCTATTGTGTAAGTGTTTTTTATATGAATTTTAAATTATTTTTATATTCTCGGTTCTAGTTATGCAATGAAATGAACATTCATAAACATCCGGTAAAGCACCACAAATATAAGGCAGATGTGGCCCAAAAGTAAATATAAAAAGAATATTCAAAACGTATGTTTGTATGTTGTTCAAAACTAGTATATAAATATATATATATACACTTGACTGACTTGAAAGCCAATGCACGACATACTATACACACTCACACACACACACACACACACACACACACACACACACACACACACACACACACACACACACACACACACACACACTCACACACACACACACTCACACACACACACACACACACACATACACACACACACACACACACACACACACACACACACACAATATATATATACATATATGCTATATGTATATGTGTATGTGTGTGTGTGTGTGTGTGTGTGTGTGTGTGTGTGTGTGTATGTAATGTACTTAAGGTTGGACTAGGAGGACACATCTTAGCGTTTCCTGAGTGACAGTCCTATTTGGACCATTTCCCATAAAATGTTTGTTTTGAGTATTTAGTGTTAATTTGTTCAGAAATTGCCAAATAAATATCTCTTTCTTTCTTTCTTCTTTCTAAATTTTGTTCAATAGGTTTCAAACGGTCCGTGCATAAAACAAAGAAGGTTCATCTCCTTTAGAATTGTATTATAGGTTCTTACGACCTACTCTCTCTAACCCTCTCTCCCTCCCTCTCTCTTAAGTGACGCCGGCGAAATTGCGCGGGTCAGATTGTACTTTTATAAAATAAAAGACATTACAACAGTCGTATAAATCGCGGCACGTTACTCTAGCTCTGAACGAAACTTGGAGGGGATAGCTGCGGATGTCTTATCAGTACGGGGGACGGAATGCGACCGGAAAGCCAATCAGCACGTGCGAAAGAGACGCACAGTCTATCATGTGCAATAATGCGCAATACGGTCAATTATGTGCAATAACGGTCACCGCTAGACTTTCGTGTCGCGAGTTGTATATAGCTGTAATGTTATCCTGAGTTTTTATCCTTTTAGTTGTTATAGTATTACGTGCCTTGTACAATTTACGTAGATAAGGTAACTTCTCATGTATATTTATATTTTTACTGTAAAGTTGATAACGTCCTTGTTAACAAAAACTTTCTCTCTTTTATAGTAACGAGGAACATAAAAAATATTTGAATTAATCAGAATCCTAACTTACACATGTTCCAACAAGCACTTGACAAATTTCGTGTTATCAAAACCTTAAAATCTATTGCAGATTATTACAAGCCAAAGTAAACGATAAATAGACTATTGTAAGATTTAATTTACCTGACAGCAGATTTTGGTATGGAGCCGTATAGCAGAACACTAAGTCCTCTGTAGAGCCCGAAGAAGCCATGTCCCTTCACGGTCTTCTTGACGCAGTCGAATATGCCGGTGTACTGTTTAGTGCCGCCTGGAAGAGATTAGACTTTATTTCCATTGCTAAACAATCCCCTTAGAACATAATATGAAGCTAAACTTGTCGGCTAAGTCTAGTCTAAGTAAACTTGTGACGAAGTCTGCTCCCTTTTTTTAAATTGAATTTCTAAGGTTTTTAAAAATAAAACCCATTTTTCAATTTTTATTGTTATTATTTTATCAATGTAATATAATTTCCATCAGAAAAACATTCGACGCATATTAAAATTTAAGAAACCAAAAAAAAAATACAAGAAATGTTTATACCATCATAAAAAAATAAATAAAATATCCTTTTTAAAAGCTTGCTTAGTTATTGCCCTTTGCACGCACGCGTCTCATCAACTCTTGGAATTAAGGTGTACAAAGCAAATTGCGGACGAATTTTTGTATTTTTATACGGATTTGCGTGCACTATTGTTTTCGTTAGAACTGTTTAGTTCACGGAGTTTTAGAATTACAGCGCACGTGCACGGATTTACTTCTGGGAACTCGTTTAGTAAAAGCCGCCGCAAAACTTAAAATAATTTAACCTTTTTTGACTCTCAGGTAGCGCCTAGTTAATAGACTTTTATTTACACTAATTAGGATCACTACATTATCACTACACTACACTAATTATCACTATTATCACTACACTAATTACTAGAGTAGCAGGGCGGGTCCGTCACATCTTCATGCCATCAGTTAGTCAAGCAACGACTGCCCTTGTGACTAGACGTTTTAATTGCGAATTCGTGTTTATTTCGGATGTACTTTTCTATTGAGTTAGTCTAGCCCTAGCTGTGTGCTCCTTCACTATTTGTGTGACTACTGTGACGACTATTTGTGTAATCAATAATTTATGGCTGCTTTTACCATTGAAGAATATGCTGATACCGTCTTCATGTATGACAGAGCTGACGGTAATGGATCTTTGACACGGCGGATGTACAATAGAAAGCGATATCCGAAGATTACCAAATGTCAGTGTTTTACAGCACATTTCGTCGGCTTTCTCAAGTTGGAATCCATCACGCGAAACCTGGAATCAATCCGGGCGGGAAGACATGGCCCAAGTGTCGAGGAAGACATTATTGCAGGTCCTACTACGAGCATCAGAGCAGTAGCTCTTAACCTCAACATTTCGGTATGGAAGGTGTGGAATACGATGCACCGAGAAAACAAGTAGTATCCTTTTCACAGCACTGGTGTATAAGGTTTGGAACATGAAGATGCCCCACGAAGAATTCAGTTCAGTCGCTTTTTGCTAAATAGTGACATAGAAGATGAATGGTTTTTAAAATCCATCTTATGGACCGATGAGGCAAAGTTTGCGAATGAAGGACTTACTAACTTTCAAATTGGAGACAATAACCTGGAATTCCTCATAAACGAACTCCCAGAGCTTCTGGACGAGGCCGAAATACGTACGTAAAATTTAACCTAAATATAAAATAAAATACGGTATGATTTTATAATATATAAAGTACTACTGCTCACATTTTCCTTGTCAGAGAATGCCACATAACATTATTCCGTGCCTAATGGCGGCTTCTCACTGCGTGTGTTATCACGCACGTGTTGATTTGTACTCGCAAGCACGCGCCACGCGCGAGCCCCGCGCCACCTGTTCTAACTGGCGCGGCGTGGCGCGTGCTTGCCCGAACTCAGAGCCACTGAGTCAGTCTGTTTAACGCAGCGCACCTGATGTGTGAGTCGAATTGCTACCTCCAGCCATGGAGCAATGCCACTGAATAGGAAGGCATCGCTGTTGCTTCAGCCGCTTTTGTCTTATTTTGTGGATATCATTTACTTAATAAAATTAACAAAAAAAAGGCGCTGGTGGATAACATCGTTAAAATTAAAAATTCAGCAATCGTCTCATCAGACCACTCCATATCTATATAGACATGAGAGTACCTCAACGTCGGACGAGTTAAGACGAAATGAACGAGTTCAATCTTGTAAGCGCCGCCCCCGCTCGCGCACCGACGCGTGAGCCCGCGCCGCACCACGCCTGCTCGCGCCACGCCGCGCCAAACCCTTCACACTGTGCGTGGCGCGTGCGGGCGCGGTGCGACGCGTGATAACACACGCAGTGAGAAGCCGCCGTAACGTATCCTATACTTACACCTTTGCTTATATAATCAAAGATTTACACCTTATGATGGCTCTTCACGTTGGCCGACATAGTGGCGAATATTGTGGCCAATACCTTGTTATGCATTGGAATGATGGTCCACAAGTTGGTACGAGACCCGTGTTGTGTCAGATTTTTCACAAAAGATCAAAGGATTGTGGCAGAGTTTGGCCGCCGCGTCCACAGTCCACACCTTGGGTGCGCGATTAATTTGCTACGGGCTCCCAGAAGAATTGCACGCACCTGATTAAAATTTTTAATTTATGCTTCGTAACTAATGTCTACAAAATGGCAATAACAATGACCAATGAGAAACTTTTCGCTTTATATAGCACTAACAAGCCGAAAATTGTTTGTGGAACCCCAGAAATAAAAATCACAAAAATAAAAATTCTAATAAAATAAATTATAATAATAATTTCTTAAACACATTCAGGTAATAGCGGTATGCTGTGAATAAATAAATCGCTGCAGCTGTTAGCGCCTCAATATCCATTTAAATAAATTCGTCTGCACATTAGCCTGAACCGAAGCAAACTAAATGACCTTCCAACGTTCCAAGGTGTAGACGCCATCACAAACTCTTGGCTAATATTTTTGCCATAACATTCACCACTATGTTGGCCAACGTGCGCCGCATAGGCTAGCAGCATCAACATCATTGAAACCAGAGAGTGAAGAGCCGCCATTATGTTCGTATCAAATTTATAAAACGTTTCCTTGTCACCTTGGGTTGACTGGCAGAGAATGCCGACGAGAATGACATAACATTAGTATGTCCAACTTATCCTTTTAATTTACTCCCATGTTGGTCTTGGACTTAATGGTGCCATGTAAATGTAAGATTTTTTAGGATATTGGTTTTGTGATTGTGTAGGCGATGGCCTAGCCAGCTAGAACTTTTTAACAATTTTCCATATAAACCGGTATTTTTTTCACAAAACGTGGTCCAAAAAGTAGCAAGTGTTTGGATTTTGCCTATATGTAACAACCATTTCTGTGGTGTCAGACCGGAGGGGACTGAATAACCCGAGTTCATACTTACTGTTCATTTTGACCTCAAACTAGCTTAACAGTCCTATGGTTTAAGTTTTGATTATGAAATCTTATCAAAAAACTCTTCAACAGCATGTATACAAAGATTCATGCATCTGAACCAATTTTTGAAACAGTTTCCAGCCCGCCTCAGACACTACTACGCCTTGTTTGAACGCTGCTATCGCATATTTCGGCATTGAAAACTTTAGTAGTATCCCTTTCAGATTATTTTTGATTTATGGGATACAAGTCACACTGTGTTCGGGCTTTAAGGACGGACCCAAAACATAACTAGTGTGCTGTCCAGGAAGCAGCTCGTTCTAGGATCATCACAGCTCATGCTCAATCCGTGTTTGTTCTGTTTTGTTTTTGTCTTAACTCAAAATTTTATTTAATGGGTCAAGATATTTCAATGTAGCTTGTCGAAAAATGTGGACACAAAATTTAAATTAAAACATTCGTAGCTTTACTTTTAAATAATTGTATTTTTAAAATAAATCATAAATGGACTGATTCTCATACAAAAAAATAAATTGTTTCTAGCAAAGCTTTCTGCGTACCCTGTCGTACAGTGCAAGTATATTAAATATTTTACGTTAGTTTATATAAGTTCTATAAACACAATTTCCACTGCCGACTTTCCTTACACGGCGACCGTGAAGAGCTTGTGGCAACCTTCTGCTGACAAAGGTCAACAACTTCTCGGTTCTGATTAGATAAGTATTTAAGGACTACATGAAATTATACAAGCTCAGAGTAACTCAAATATTTAGGCCCTTACTAATAAAAGACGTCAAATTATGAAATGCTTAGACTTAGACAGGTATAGAGATAGTGGAAACTTAATTTAAGTAAGCAATAGTCAATGGTTATAAGTAATGTTGATAGTTCGTACTTTACTTAAGATCAGGCTTTCATAAACTTACACTTACACTTACACTTCATAACCCACACAAGTGCTAACCACTAAAGAAGCTGCCTAAAGACGAAAATAAGGTGTTTTCATTTCAACAGTAAAAAAGAGTAATATGTTTTTAATTTGCATAGTGACAAAATAACAATTAATGCTGGTGTAATGCCTTGGATCCGCGGCACTATTAAAACTATAACACGTCGCAGTACCTAATAATAATGGCGTATACGATCATGCGTGTAGCACGCGTGAGCCAGTCAATCCGGCACCATAAGGTAATCTTGTCACAAACGCCCTACGACCAACTGGTAAATCACCCCTAGGTTTGTGTACCTCACTTTGAGAATCCATGCATGATTTCGTTATGTAGTAGCCAATATTTTATTGTATGGCCGATGGAAGAATAAGGGTGAAGATTCAGTAGAGATTGTTTGGCGGAGCGTGTGCCGCGGTGTCCTAACAATCATACGCTGTAGTTTTGCCGTGTCCTGAGTGGCTGCAGTTTTTATTTGTATGGAATGGCGGCTTCTCACTGCGTGTGTTATCACGCGCCGCGCCGCGCCCGCACGCGCTACGCGCAGTGTGAAGGGCCTTGGCGCGGCGTGGCGCAGCGCGTGCTATCCGTTTAAAATCGGTAACTTCAAAGGCGCGGCGTGTGCTTACAAGATTGAACTCGTTCATTTCGTCTTAACTCGTCCGACGTTGAGATACTCTCATGTCTATATAGATATGGAGTGATCTATTTGAGATGATTGCTGAATTTTTAATTTTAACGTTGTCATCCACCGGCGCCTTTTCTTCTTTTTTTTTTAAATTTTATTGAGTAAATGATATCCACAAAATAAGACAAAATGATGCCTTCTTCTTTCATTGGCATTGGTCCATGGCTGGAGGTGGCAATTCGACTCACACGACATCAGGTGCGCCGCGCTAAACAGACTGAGTCAGTGGCTCGGAGTTTGGGCAAGCAACCGCCGCGCCGCGCCAATTAAAACATGTGACGCGTGCTTGCGCGTACAAATCAACACGGGCGCCGCGGCGCGTGATAACACACGCAGTGAGAAGTCGCCATTAGCCTAAGTCTGCGTGGAAAGCTAGCGATGGTACATGTGACGTAGCGGCGCGGTCGGCATATTTTAACCGCTCCGTTAAAATAAGGTTGAGTTTTTTATTATTTTCAGATTTATCGAACAATGTGTAGGAATATCAGAGCTTGGTTTAGGTAGTAACAGTAAAGATTTTCATTTATTGTTTTTTTTTTAATGACAAATCGAAGTGAAAATCAAAACTTTTTGTTTTCAATATAGGCTTGTTTATAGCTCTTTATGAATGACAAAATCTACATCGGTTCGCTAAAACAAGACCTTCTTAGAGAACAACCGATAAGACACTCCGGGGTCTATTTTTAAATGATACAATTTAATTACAATTACAACTTATAAAATAATGCAATGTCAAATGTCAAAAGTAAATAAATATTTTTTAAACATCAGGTTTAACAAAACAATATCAATAGCCAGGGGACTTGTAAGCTAGCTGTCATTGTCCTCAATGCATTCCATTAAATAGAGCCATTACACTGGGTGCGTTTGGCAGAAAAAAGCGCTAGCAAGCGCTTGTAAGCAAAATGGCGATCGTAAGCGGTAAGCGCTGTCAAATCGTAAGTAGCTATTTTCCTCTAGGACACGATGTTAGTTTTAACTGGGGAACCTAACCTAATTTTAATATATGTTTGTGAAGTATTCATATTAAAAACTTACCAATCATGAATTTTTAATAACATGTATATGACTATTCATGTCATTATATTACTTAAAACTAATATTGCAAAAAACATCTTATAAACTCTACTTCAAAACAAACAAATTAAATAAGCAAAATGGCGGATTGTGTCAGCGCTACTGAAGTAGCAATCGTGTCCTGGCCGAAAACTATTTTAGCGCTAGTAAGCGCTTGCTAGCGCTTTTTTCTGCCAAACGCACCCAATGTCTATATTTGATATTGGCCACACTTGGTAAACAGGTTGGCAACTGCAGTTATTTATTTTCTAGGTGCTATTAGGATGATGCTACAGTCCATATCCTAGTTTGTTTTCCTCTGTCACACTATACTCATGATATGATAGAGGTAGTGGATATTTTTACACCGCCACTACATGGCGCTATTTATCCTCAATAGACAGTATATTATATTATTGCTCAATAGATAGTAGGTAGCATG